CAGCTGTATGACTCTGCTGGGTGAAAGAGAAGAGGATGAGCTACAACTGTATAACTCTGCTGAATGAAAAGAGGAAATGAGTTACAACTGTATAACTCTGCTGGGTGAATGAGAAAAGGATGAGCCACAACTGTATTACTCTGTTGAGTGAAAGAAAAAAGGATGAGCTACAACTGTATTACTCCTCTGGGTGAAAGAGACGAGGATGAGCTACAACTGTATAACTTTGCTGGGTGAAAAGAAGAGGATGAGCTACAACTGTATAACTCTGCTGGATGAAAGAGAAGATGATGAGCTACAACTGTATAACTCTGCTGAGTGAATACAAAAAAAGGATGAGCTACAATTGTATAACTCTGCTGAGTGAAACAGAAGAGGATGAGCTACAACTGTATAACTCTGCTGGGTGAAAGAGAAGATAATGAGCTACAACTGTATAACTCTACTGGGTGAAAGAGAAGAGGATGTGCTACAATTGTATAACTCTGTTGAGTGAAAGAAAAAAGGATGAGCTACAACTGTATTACTCCTCTGGGTGAAAGAGACGAGGATGAGCTACAACTGTATAACTTTGCTGGGTGAAAATAGGAGGATGAGCTACAACTGTATAACTCTGCTGGATGAAAGAGAAGATGATGAGCTACAACTGTACAACTCTGCTGAGTGAAAGAGAAGAGGATGAGCTACAACTGTATAGCTTTGCTGGCTGAAAAGAGGAGGATGAGCTGCAACTGTATAACTCTGCTGGGTGAAAGAAAAGAGGATGAGCTACAGCTGTATAACTCTGCTGAGTGAAAAGAGGAGGATTAGCTACAACTGTATAACTCTGCTAGGTGAAAGAGAAGAGGATGAGCTACAGGTATAACTCTGCTGGGTGAAAGAGAAGAGGATGAGCTACAACTGTATAACTCTGCTGAGTGAATAAAAAAAGGATGAGCTAGAATTGTATAACTCTGCTGAGTGAAACAGAAAAGGATGAGCTACAACTATATAACTCTGCTGGGTGAAAGAGAAGATAATGAGCTACAACTGTATAACTCTACTGGGTGAAAGAGAAGAGGATGTGCTACAATTGTATAACTCTGTTGAGTGAAAGAAAAAAGGATGAGCTACAACTGTATTACTTCTCTGGGTGAAAGAGAAGAGGATGAGCTACAACTGTATAACTCTGCTGAGTGAAAGAGAAGAGAATGAACTACAATTGTATAACTCTGCTGAATAAAAGAGAAGAGGATGAGCTACAACTGTATAACTTTGCTGGGTGAAAATAGGAGGATGAGCTACAACTGTATAACTCTGCTGGATGAAAGAGAAGATGATGAGCTACAACTGTATAACTCTGCTGAGTGAAAGAGAAGAGGATGAGTTACAACTGTATAACTCTGCTAGGTGAAAGAGAAGAGGATGAGCTACAAGTATAACTCTGCTGGGTGAAAGAGAAGAGGATGAGCTACAACTGTATAACTTTGCTTGGTGAAAATAGGAGGATGAGCTACAACTGTATAATTATGCTGGATGGAAGAGAAAAGGATGAGCTACAATTGTATATCTCTGCTGAGTAAAAAGAGAAGAGGATGAGCTACAACTGTATAACTTCGCTGGGTGAAAGAAGAGGATGAGCTACAACTGTATAACTCTGCTGGATGGAAAAGAAGAGGATGAGCTACAACAGTAAAACTCTGCTGGGTGAAGGAGAGGAGGATGAGCTACAACTGTACGTCTGCTGGGTGAAAGAGAAGAGGATGAGGTACAACAGCATAACTCTGATGCGTGAAAGAAGAGGATGAGCTACAACTGTATAACTCTGCTGGGTGAAAGAGAAGAGGATGAGCTACAACAGTATAACTCTGCTGGATGAAAAAGAAGAGGATGAGCTACAACAGTAAAACTCTGCTGGTTGAAGCAGAAGAGGATGAGCTACAACTGTATAACTCTGCCGAGTGAAAGAGAAGCATGAGAATGGTGACTATTTTTTGTTCAGAGCTACGGTTTAGGTGAATTAGTTTTAAATAAATTCTATGTAAATAAACGTTCTGTATATCTTGATATCATTATAGATTGTGTCCTGAATTAAGAAACTGAATGATGCAAAGTTTGAATTAATAGCATGAACTATTATTATTGTTTTAGAGCAAAATTAAGCAATGAGCTACTGGCGTTCTGTCAATCACGGGGAATCGAAATCGAAAAAAAAGAAAAAGAAAAAGAGAGAGAAGCATTTCAACGTGTACCTTAAGTTACTGTCTGTTTCACGGTAACCTAAACTAATATATACAAGTACCACAACATCAGTCTTAAATATAACATTTATAAAAGTATAAAGATCATTTCATTATCTATTTCTTGCATTTTTTTTATTAGCAACACCACAAGTATTGTCTTCCTACCTCTTCATCATTAATATACCATTTGATGATTGCAACAGGCTTAGAGGGCGCTGCAGTGCAAGTCACATTAACCTCGTCCCCAGGGCTATATTGTGCTTTCGTACCCTGTATTTTCGGTCCTCCTTTTGGAAGAGCTGAAGAAAAATAAAATAAAAATGTTTTACACCAGAAATGAAATGATTATTTGAATATATTAAAGATCAGATTATTCTACAATGTGCCGAAAAGTAACAAAAAAGAATCACTGTTGTGTGAAAAAGTAAAATTCTGATCCTTTTATTGAAACAGTGAAAAACGTGAAATACAACCACTACAAAAGGAATAAAAAGTCCAGGAACACCTAACAAGACATAATAAAAATAACCAAGTGGCACAACACAGATAAATACACGATGCTGAACTTCATGGTTAGAAAGATACTTACCTTGGAAACATCATTATCAGATCTGTTCCAAAAATTAATTTAATTATCAATATTTCATTTCAAACTAGTATTTTTTACGAATCATGCAATTTAAATAAAATATTTTGAAAAGTGTGACAAACAACACTCGAATGCTGCATCTTTTATTTGCTTGTGGTGACATACAATTTGTGTGTCCTCGTTTTTAATGTTACTACATGAGTTTATAGTTACTACATGAATTTATAGTTACTACAGGAGTTTTTTAAATAGCTTTTGTTCGTAAGCTTCTTATTAGTAGTTGAAAATCCATCCAAATAAAAACACGTATAAAGAATCTGTTACGTTCGAATTTAGCGTAAAGATCATAACTACCACAAAGTTAAAGGATTGTATTTCAATGGATTAAAAATTATTTCGTTTCCAACTGTGTTCAGGAAAGAATCACCAGAGCCACCTGAAGGCTAAAAGTCAAAACTTTTTGGTGGAAATCTGAGAGCAAATGGTTACATCCAGAGTTGGATGAAGACAGTCAAAAATTAAGTGTTGGACTAGATGATGTATTTCGATGAAGTTGTTTTCAAATGGTTACATCCAGAGTTGGATGAAGACAGTCAAAAATTAAGTGTTGGACTAGATGATGTATTTCGATGAAGTTGTTTTCAAATGGTTACATCCAGAGTTGGATGAAGACAGTCAAGAATTAAGTGTTGGGCTAGATGATGTATTTCGATGAAGTTGTATTCAGTTTGATTTCTACAGATACAATGATTTAACAAGTTAGAACAATATTTTGTTCTGGTTTCTTAAGGTGGAACTCCTTTACTCAGTATTCAGTAATACTGCACAATAGGTTTAAAGCACCATTAATGTCTGACAGGCGGAAAGTGTCATGAAAGATAATTGTTCTCAAACAAATCACAAGAAATGGGTCTGTATTATCAGTGATTACCATTGGACTAAATGAGCGTTTTCACCTTTTCAAATGAAAGTATATACCTACGGGCGTGAGTTGTCCCGCCCACATCACCATTCCCATCTGGCAGCCGCTGGGTTCCGGAGTAGTGTAAGAAAACCGTATAAAAGTGGAATACACGTCAATATCCAAAGACACGTGTGGCAGCCTTTTGTTAAGACTAGTTCGTGTTTCACTCACTTGCTTACTATTGATGTACACCTTGTAATTTTCCGTTCAGCCGACTAGTATTCAAGAGGTAGCCCGCAGAAATCAATTTCCATGGCTTTGTAATGCTCCGTTACTACCCCTTATCGCTTATTCCCCTCTTCTAGGCCCCTTTGTACGTCGTAATATTTTAGGATTATTCACTGCAACGTAATCCCGCTGACATTATGATGTGTACCAACATATTGGAATATAATGTTCATATTATACTTTGTTTACACTTGGATCGTAATATTACCGAAAAGTCAAAAGTTTCTACAGAATGCCTTGTCGCATGAAAATGAGTCACAAAAATCACCGTAAGTGATTGTCACGTGCCTAATTTGTGACTGCTTTCCACTTCAGTTAACGACGTTATTAAGGATAAGGGAAGGAGTTTTACACTGTTGTACGAGCGTAAACTTGAACAAACAAGTAAGAATAATTACACACAATTTCGTAGTTTTATTTACATATCTATTTTACAAATTCTAGTTGAAAGAAAGTAACTTTTTCATGGAGAAAATACAAAACATCTAAAGTTATGTAATCAGTGTAAAACAGATAAATGACGAAAGTTTGTTTGTAATTAAGCACAAAGGGCTATCTGTGATCTGCCCCACCACGGGTATCGAAACCCGGATTTTAGCGTTGGAAGTCCGCAGACATACCGCTGTGCCACTGGGGGCAAATGATGAAAGGGACGATTAAACCAAATAAGAAAAAGACTTACAAATCCCAAAACGAAAACAATCACACAATTTACAATGTTATATATTTCAGATACTAAGCCTAACAAGTTACAAATGATTGGCTAAAATGTTATGTCATTCAACTAAAATACTAGAGAGAATTTAAAAACTTTTAATTCAACCAATGGTTTTATTGTAGTAAAACAATGATTAATGCATGTATATATATATATATATATATATATGTGTGTGTAGTAATACATCATATACACACACACACACACATATATATATATATGATTTATAACATTGTATTTGATTAGTGTGCATGCAAAGAGCAGAACAAATCTTTCTAATATGATAAGCAATTTAATTAATTCAAATTTCACTAGCCATAATGTTGTGGGTCAAGCGAGCTTTTAATTTTATTATTTGTATGTTTTTTCTTTATTTATTTCTAAATAAAAAGGTTAAACGTAAAGTTGAAGCTATCCTAAAAAGGTATATATATGTTTTTTTCTTTTGCTCTAATGTGATTATTAACACACAGATTTTTTCTTTTGCTCTAATGGGATTATTAACACACATATTTTTTCTTTCTTTTGCTCTAATGTGATTATTAACACATATATTTTTTCTTTTGCCCTAATGTGATTATTAACACATTTAATTTTTTTGCTCTAATGTGATTATTAACAAACATATTTTTTCTTTTGCTCTAATGTGATTATTAACACACATATTTTTTTTGCCCTAATGTGATAATTAACACATCTACTTTGTTTTTTGCTCTAATTTGATTATTAACACATCTATTTTTTTTGCTCTAATGTGATTATTAACACACATATTTTTTCTTTTGCTCTAATGTGATTATTAACACACATATTTTTTTTTGCCCTAATGTGATAATTAACACATCTATTTCGTCTTTTGCCGTAATGTGATTATTAACACATCTATTTTTTCTTTTACTCTTATGTGATTATTAACACATCTATTTTTTCTTTTACTCTAATGTGATTATTAAAACATATATTTTTTCTTTTGCTCTAATGTGATGATTAACACATATATTTTTTCTTTTGCTGTAATCACATTATTTTTTTCTGTTTTATTCTGGCCCGGAACAAGATCCATAAGTTCAGTATTGGGCGTGCTAAAATAGCAACAGCCTTATGTGGCAGCGAGTGCTGAAAGCTGTCTGCCTTCCTCTTGTCAGTAGTTCAATATTAAGAACAGGTATATCTGAACTGTAGGAATCTTTGAACGTACCTTTCAGCTTCAAATTTCAATAAACGCTTCTGATTTATTCTGCATGGAGCATGTTGACGTCACAGGTACGCGCACGGGTAGAAAGCAATAATAAACAAAAACTAAACCGAAACTGGCAATTATTTTTCCAGATTTTGCATGATGGAAATGTTTTTGAAATTACATATTATGAACAGATTGAGCTTTTGTTATCTATACATGCTCAGCATGTTGAAATAAAACGATACTTGTATTTTTAAACGTCAAGTTTGACTTAGATCTCGAAACACGATAGCTATTTTAATGATACGTGACATTTTAGACGTTCTTTGCATATTAAAGAAGTAATACTACGACACACACGTACTTTTTGACTGTTACATTTTACTTTATGTTTTTCTTCCTTCAACATTCTAAGCATAAAATGGGCAAATATTGCCGAAATTATATACGATAATTATCTACACGTCCATTCTTCTATGTGATTAAGCTTCCATCTGTTTCCTAATTTACAGACATATACCGGATGTTAGGTATACTGTAGCGGGTGGAGACCGCGCGCGTGCACATTACCTTTATTTCTACACAGACATGTATCAATGCTTTCCAGTTAATGACTATAGTCGTCAAGCGTCACTGCTCTTAGCTTTGTCAAGGTCCAGGTGTACTTTGACTACCCAGGCTGAGCCCCTATACCCTTAGGGAAGGACAACAGAATGATTTCAGTATTTATCAATATTAGTGATCAAACAAAGTAAACGTTCGGTGTGCTTGAACCAGTTTTTGACTTTTATCAAACAAAATAAACGTTCGGTGTGCTTGAACCCGTTTTTGACTTTTATCAAACAAAATAAACGTTCGGTGTGCTTGAACCCGTTTTTGACTTTTATCAAACAAAGTAAACGTTCGGTGTGCTTGAACCAGTTTTTAACTTTTATCAAAGAAAGTAAACGTTCGGTGTGCTTGAACCAGTTTTATACTTTTATCAAACAAAGTAAACGTTCGGTGTGCTTGAATCCGTTTTTGATTTTTCTCAAACAAAGCAAACGTTTGGTGTGCTTGAACCAGTTTTTGACTCTTATCAAACAAAGTAAACGTTCGGTGTGCTTGAACCCGTTTTTGACTTTTATCAAACAAAGCAAACGTTCGGTGTACTTGAACTAGTTTTTGACTTTTATCAATAGAAAAGTCTTATTTTGTTTACTATTTTGTAGACCCTCTGATTTACAAAATACTTTCGAGTTACAAATTACCCATGAGTTACAAATTACCTTTGAGTTACAAAATATCCCTGAGTTACAAGGTATCTTCAGTTACAAAATAACCCTGAGAAAAAAATCTCGTTTTCTCCTCTTAAAACACTTTATCAGGGGACTGAAGCCAAACTACGAATATCATTTTGAAACTATTGTTGAAGAGCAAAGAAAAAACAAACAGATAAATACATTTTTGGTTAATACTACAAACAACATTTTAAGTGTTGATTTCATTACGTTTAAAACGTGTTACACAGCGGTGGATAGTATTGTCTAACAAAAACAAATGTGTTTATACAGATACTTCATTGGATGAAATAGTATATATTTCATAGTTAGGGTTGTTTTTCTCTACTAGGTCAAATATATAATAAAAT